TATATGTCTATTTTTTTTTTTTATATAATTACATATTTGGTTTTGTAATATTTTATTTACTTTTATTTTGTTTTTGGAAGATACTTCAAACATTTTGTCAAATGGTCTCTGCTGAATGTAAAAAAAAAAAAATCATTCGATTAATTCTGTAAATTTTCCTTCTTTTCCATTTTGAATTTGATTGGTTTTGAATTTGGATTTGGATTTGGTTTCGGAACAGAAGACCATTTTGCATGAACAGAATGTTTGTACAGCTTCATACATATATCTAGTTTCCCTTTCTGTTTCATAGTTTATATATAATTGATTTTTAACTAATTGGTATATTGCTTTCCGAAATGTTATTTAAATTTGTATACTGACATATGAATATATATATATGTATATTTAGTGTTGTATATGTAGCGATTCATTCATAACGGATCGTGGCATTATCTTTAAGACTCTGCTTGTGACGTGTATGTGTGTGTGTGTTTGAAATGAACCATTGATGCTTCTATGCTATGTTAACATGGATCGTAATCATACATAAACTATATATATATATTATATCTTTATTCCATTCTATATAGTATATATAGTGTTTTTTAAGATTCTGCTCGTACGGTGTGTACTTTGTTTTAATTGATACATTTGATGGGAGATTTTTTCATGAGTTTTCATTCATTCATATTTACTAAGAGCTTGCTTAAAATGTATTATAATTATATTTATATATATGTTTGTATGCTAAATGATAATACACAGGTTACAAACGGAGTGCCTCATAAAAGAGAAAACAATATATATCGGGTATTGAATATATATGTATATATGTTATGATCTATTCAAAACGTTTGCTTAACTAATTGCTTTGAAAATCAGTGCATTTGCTAGACATATAGTTCGATAGATATGTATGTATATATGTATATATTTTTGCAGTATATGGGCTATATAAACTAGGCTGGTATTCTGCTTTTTAAAATTCCTCAAAATAAGCTCTAACTGTATATGGTATATATGTGTATATACATATATATACTCGCAGATTAGATAACTTTGCTGTTAATTTGAAAAAATGGCCGTGTCACTGATATGTTTACGGATATAGAATGTTCAAGAGTTTCGACTAGCGTAATTATTATGTAATACACATTCAAAATCTATAAATATCTATGGAATAGATATATATGTATATATATTTATGTATATATGTGCTAACACAGGCCAACTAAATTTGATGACATTTTGTAATCAATCCATAACACTAAACTGTTAAATGAGTTCATTTTAGATATTCCCAATTTGGATCTAGAAACAGAATGGCTTTACTTATATTTCGATTTTTATCGAAAGTGACATGAGAGCTAGAGATTAAATTAGTTTACATTAAAGCAAAATAGTTTGAAGAGAAACTGAAAAAGCTATATTCCAATATTCTACTAATTAGTATATCCTATTAGAATATCTCAAGAATCTGACTTGATAGCTGTCAGCCTCACTTTCAGCTTAGTCTGCCTGCCTGATTACGCAATCCAATTGACCTATATAACAGACTATAACAGATTGTGATAATTAACTGTGTACAGCAATTGTTATACAAAAATGTTCAGTTGACTTAGATCCTAGATAGAATAGGTGTATAATATATGTATATATAGAGAGCAGCTATAAAAAGCCGTCTGCAAAATATGAGTGCAATTAAAATGATATATATATATTTAACGTACAGTTAGCTAAGTTGAGATAATGTATCTGTCGATACATACACAAGGTACACACATTTATGCTATGCTATTATCGAGCTGCTAGGCCTAGGCTATACCCTGTATACACATAGATATAGAGGGGGCTTAGCCAACGGTCGCATAAAGTCGACAAAGCAAATAATAATTGATTGGTAGGTATATATGAAACATCTAATATTTTCAAATTCTCGTTACGGACTAAACGTATATATGTATATATATAAATATGTATGTATGTATATATAGACGATATKTGATGTATACTCGTGCATACATGCACCATATATGTACATATATCGTACTAATAGCAATAGTTAATATCACTTTGGTAATTTAAACAGGCGAGCCATTGAGACTCTGATATGTATCGTTACCTTGGTTGTGTCTTATGTTAGAAATATCAGTAAATACTTGAAATCAAAAATCGTTTTCAAAACTCCAAATGATATGGCACAGCCGGTCGGGCGGCAACACGATGCCCCACAGATGCGTCGCAATGGCACACGAAAGGGTGTATATAGTTCGGTTTGTGCAAATTGTGATATGTCTGCGATATGAATGCCATTGCCTGCTCCTCAGCACGACGACACCTGTGGCACCTGTCCAGCCTGCTCCGCTGCGCCGCTTACGTGCTACGGCTTGTATAAATATGTATATAACTATGTCTATGTATATATATGTGATATCTGTTGCAGATCGGAACTAGGAACGAGCGCTGCTGCTCCTTGAGTTTGATCCAATTATGACTATGCTTTGGTTGCTCTAGCTTCAGCGTATAGAGTACTGAGTATAGTTGGACCGACATCGATAACGGTGCCAATATACTACATATGTATATCCTATGTGTAGCTGCGTGCAATCAGTGTATGATACAAAACCGGTGCGTGGGGGCTTTAGCAGCTGAACTTGAACTATTTGCATGCCATATGCAGTTTTATAGTGTACGTACCACTTACTATTTATATATATATTTATATATATGTAGGTAATATCCTAAACCAAATTCAAGTGAGTTCAACAAAATTATAGGTATATGTATATATCGAAATGATAATATCTTTTCTTGAAGACAACAGTTTAAAATCCTTGTCTAAAGGGATTCGCTGGTCCAGCAGGACCTCTGCTTGGCTGCTGCTGCTGCTGCTGCTGTGCCTGCTGGAAAGGATTCGCCACGCGTGGCTGGGCGTAGCTGCCGCCCTGCTCCTGGTAGCCCGGCTGGTAGCTCTGATCCTGCTGGTAGCCAGCCGCCTGCTGATAGTCGTACTGCTGGTGCTGCTGCTGCTCGTCCAGATTGGTCTCCTGCTCCGACTGGTACTGCTGGCCGTACTCGAGGTGATTCTTGAGCTCGCCCTCGACGGGCTTCTGGTCGTGCATGACGTAGGTCTGGTACTCCTTGTTGGGCGGATCCTGCATCAATATGTTGGCCTCGTTCTCGAACGGCTTGAAGTCGTAGATGTTGCGCAGCTTGCGCAGCACGGGCACATAGGCCAGATTCGAGAAGGCGATGAGAAAGTTGAGCGCTGTGAATCCAATGGCCTCCACAACGCCGCCCGCTATGATCGGCCCCACGGCATAGGCGATCGAATAGGAGATGTCCGCGATGGCGTAGATGCTGCCATAGACGGACACATAGCGCACGTCCACCAGGTAGCCCAGCGTGGGCAGCAGCGCCGTGTCTATCAACGCGATGCCGAAGCAGATCACACAGATGGGCAGCATGAGCGTCTTGTAGCCCCCGCAGAAGGGTATGACGAAGCAGGACAAGCCCTCCAGGGCCAGCCCGCCGGCTGCCATTAGCCACTGGTGCTGCGGATACTTGCGTGCCATCTTCACGGTTATGACCACGCCCAGCACGTGTGGAAAGAAGGCGGGCAGCCAGACCATGCCGATCTTCCAGTTGTCCGTGGTCATATTGTCCTCCATCCACAGCGAGATGGTGGGCTCCAAGAAGGCGAGTGCCACGTTCGACATGGTCAATGCTCCAGCGCAGACGGCGATGTAGGGATCCATGAGTAGGCGCCAGATGGGTATTACCTGGTTCTGGACCTCTTTGCTCTGTCTGATCTGCTCCTTGACGGGCTTCATGACCAGCAACAGCATCAGGCCATCCAGCAGGCAGACCAGTGCCAATATGAGGAATGGCACCTCTTTGCCCGCGAATTGGTACAGAGCGCCGCCAAAAGGGGGCGCCACTAGGCAGCCGAAGCTAATGAATGCCAGCGCAATGCCCAGCGCCTGCGATCGCTCGTTCTCCTCCGTGAAGCGATCCGCAATCATGGCCAGACCCGAGGTGTCGGCGAACGCCGAGCCAGCGCCCTGCAGCGAGCGGGCGAAGAAGAGGACGCTGTAGCTGCTGCCGCAGGCGAAGACGGCCGTCGAGAAGAACATGATGGTCAGGCCGATCATCATGGGTATGTCGTAGCCGATTTTGTCAATCAAGCCGCCCGAGAACGGATTCACCATCAGCTGGACAATGGCCTTGGAGGCAAAGAGTATGCCCGTGGCCGAGTCTTGGCCGTGATGATCGTGATGCGTCGGAATGATACGCCCAGTGACATTATCTCGGAGCGGCGGCGGCGTTGGGCCCTCATCGAAGCTGCCAATCTCGCGCAGATAGTCGGGTATGATCGGCACAATGACCATGTACAGCATGTTGTCCAACAGCAAGGCAATGGAGACAATGACCAGGATGAGGCGACGCTGATTCACCGGCTCCTGTATCTTCTCCCACACAATCTCCTTCACCTCGCGCACCTCCAGGTTGATCAGCGGTATTTGGAAGGAGGCCATTTTGCTTTGCTTCTCTTTTGATTAAGTACTAAGAATCGCTTGAGCTCTTCCAATCTCTCTTTCTCTTTCACTCTGCTAGCACAACTTCAGTGGCAGGCGTTCATTTTGCAAGCTGCTCTTTCGATTTGATTCTAGAATTGCTTAAGCTCTATCGCTCTCTCGCTCTCTCTCGCTCTTGCTCTCCGCTGGCTGCAGTTTAGTAGCTTAGGCAGGGGGACATTTTATTTTTAGAATAGCTTGCGTGCTCTCTATGCCTCTCTCGCTCGCTCCCTCTTTGTACTATGTGTAGCCCTTATAGTTGATCTGCTCTTTTGCTTGCTGCTCTGATGCTTTTCGATTTCATGTCCGCTGCCGGAAATTGGGCTGCTGCATCCGTTTGCGGTTGACTTTTGGTGGTTCGCTCGTTTGTGGTTAGCTCCAGTTTGCTTTGTTGCAGTTGCGGTTGCAGTTGCACTCACAGCTGTTTCTTACATGATTTCGTGCTGCTGTGTTTGTTGTTGTTTTTGTTGTTGTTGTTGTTGTTAGTGTGTGAGTTGTTGGCATGCCAGTGAACAACCTTTAACGACACAGAAACAAGATTTCGTTAGTTCTTTCGTTATGGCTCAGACAGTAGTTAATTGTTTTTTTTTTCTCTCTTTTCTCTTTTCTTCTTTAAACATAATTGATTTGATTTGGCATTTTTATTGAAATATCATAGAATTTGATCATTTGTTTTTATGATTGAAATGTTGTTTCTGTGTTGCAAAAGGTTGCCTGCTGGTGAACAACAAAAATGTGTATTTGTTAAGATTAGTTTACACATATTTACATAAATTAAGTAGAGCGTTTGCTGCTTGCACACATTTCAATCATAAAACAAATACCGTACCATATTCTATAGAGTATTCCATGTGCCACTACAATGGCATTAACAATAAATACATATGCAATTACTTCAATTGCGCCGCGAGGGTAGTTCGACAAGCATGCTCACAGCCGCGTGGCCACACTTCAGAATCATCTAATTACATGTAATATTCGCTTTGTTCCATACAACAGAGAAATAACAACCACAAGCTTTGACAAAGCGCTTGAACGACACGCAAGCCACAAGAAGTGGCTCGAGTCCCAGTCCACTACAGCAATCAATCAATGGAGTGGTTCTAGTGCAAGGAGAGTAGGGAAGAGGAGCGAAGAGTTGATAGGAGAGCAAAGAAAGAGTAGAGAAGCAACGACTCGAACTGTAGTTGTTAAAGCCTGACTCGAATCTGCTTTAAACTATCGGGACTTTTCATACATATGTACATACGTATATACTTTTATTATTATGCAACAATTTTATAGTTTAAACTTGAAGTCTCAGCACCTTTTAGCTTATATATTTTATCTTCTTGCCATTTATAGACCCAATGGACAACTGTCTGCTCTCCCATGCCAGCTATCAATGCTGATCTAATTTCAACATTTATCTACCTTGTTGCCACCCCCGAAAAGACAAACACAACATAAAAACGTTACGTGTGCAGGGTATTAAAATATACCCAAACTCCCTCCAGCCAACCTCCCTCCAACCAACGCACCATCCAACCATCGAGTCGTCGAGCCGTCGAGTCGTCGAGCCGTCGAGCCATCCAGCCCCTGTCTGATGGGGTCTTTTGGTATATGCGAGACGTTAGAATAACATTTCGTTTTATCATTAAATTTTCATGACCACGTTTCGTGTGCTGTTTTATTTTTTGTTGTTGCTGGGCTAACCCCCCACCTGCCTTGTCTTGCGTTTCTGTTTGGGTGGGTGTGGCTGATCGAAGGCGGGGGCCGGTGGCGCTGAGCATAGCCAGCCCTTGGGCTTCTTGCACATGAGTCAATTATCGTGGATGTGTGTGTGTAAATGATGTGTGCGTGTTTGTGTGTGTATATGTGTGTGGGCTGTGCTATCACTCGCTCGCTGAGCAAAAGAGAGTGTATTGGTATTATAGTGCCGTATGAATAGAAAGTTAAAGCGAATGAATATAGTCTACATGTATCATGGAAAAGAGCCCTTTGAATCGAGATGAATAGATAAGCAATAAAGTTATTGCAGTAAAGTATGCAATTGGCATACATGTATACATATATTCATGTTCATTAGGAATAGTCGACTTCATCATATACATGCATAGTTTGTATAAAGCAAGAAGCTATAATGTTGGCAAGAGCAGCTCGATACGAGGTATAGAGTATCCAGTCTCCTAAGGAAATGGGAGCTAGATTAGTCTGACTTATATTGATTTTATGTACAATTATATTGAATGGCCTTTGACAGAGACTGCAATAGATTGACAAACTAAGCTGAGATTTCTGATTGCTTTAATTGCCTAAAGGTTGAAGCAGTTGAGCAACTCAAATGACAAGGAATGCAATCAGTTAGTCTGAAAGCTAGAGCTTCGCGAGTTTGATTGAAAAATCATTGGGAACGGGTGTCAAACAGACCAAAGTGAACACCTACAAGCTGAATATACGTTAGATTTTAATCTACAGGTGATCTGCACTATAGATGGAAAAGGCTGTAGAACTCTCAGCATGGAACTGCAATCGAAATCGATTGGAATGCTTGAACGAGTATTGACAGTTGAGTGCATCTGAAATGCTTTAGACGACGACAACGGTATCCATAAGAATGTTGCTTGAGCGAGTATCAAGCAGTCGATAACTTCCAGTTCACATGACATTCATACAACGGAAGACTTTAATTTTGGGTTTGTTTTGGTGTGCTGCAACAGGAACAGCAACAGCAACAGCAACAATAGAAGCAACGGCAACGGCGACTGAGTCGTGGCTCAGGTGGGTCGCTTTACTTGACCCTGGGGTTGGCTGCACGCGCTGCTTTTTATCAAAGCCAGGGGTTGGCACTCGCAGCTGCTCGCTGCTCGAGTCAAGTGCAGAAACGTGTGCCAGCGCCAACATGTTGGTTATAATAATGAACGAGACCAGGCCAAGCCCAGGGGCCTGGCACAACATCAGGATTATTAAAGTTCACACAGACAGAGAGAGAGAGAGAGAGAGAGAGAGAGAGAGAGAGAGAGATAGACAGAAACTTTGAACATCAAACAGCGGCAATTTATGTTTACGCCTTTATAATTTTATTGATTTTTCCGCGCTGACTGGCAAAAAATAAAAATAAATTCTGTTTGCAGCTGATGAATTTCCCAGCAAATAAACCAATTTATGTTACGTTTTCGTATTCGTTTTCGTTTTCGTTTTCTGTTTCCATTTGTATTTCGGTTTCAGTTTGTGTTTCATAACGTCAACTTCTGCGGCTCTCATTATACCTTCTCGGCTTCCTTTCATACTTGCCTCAATTAGCAAAGCCTCGAGTTCATATTTTATGTATGAATTGCGCATCTGTTGCGATTCTAAAGCATTCACAAGCAAGCCAAAGCAACCTCTGCCCAGCCTTGTAGAGAGAAAAGTCTTACTGTTATCTTTCCCTCTAAGCACTTATATTGTTGTTCTCTGTGTGTGTGGAAATTCAATCTATCCGCAGACAACTAGATAAAACCGGCAAAGTGCACTATAAATTGAAATTCTCGCCTGCAACTCGAGCTGCCTGGCATAAGAGGCAGCTGCAAAATAGATTACTTTTCACATAGTTTTTTTGCGCAGTGCACATAAGTAAGCAGTTGAGTTATGAGCTTTCTGTTTGCTTCAGTTGCTCAAAAAGTCTGCTGAAGGGAGCCCATCACGATGGGGAGTGCTCGACTGTGAGATACCCATAAGTATATATAGACGAATTTGCCCCCTCTCCAGCAAAAGAAGGATAAATAAGGATATGAGGAGCATAATATATTTTCCCATAATTTATACATTAAAATATCAACAATTGATCAAACTACCCTCGCATATCATTATATGATTGCAAATATGCCTTCTTCTGTCTGCTACAAAACCAATTTTCACTTTCCGCCCACTTGAAAATAAAGTTTCATCAGCTTTCCATACGGCCCCACCCCTCAAGCAGCAGGGTATCAAAAAGAAAATTACATTTCTGTTCTGCTCTAGACGTGGCCCTCTGCCGTCCGACTGCTCGAATAGGTAAACAGAGCATAGAAATACAATTTCATTTTTCCTTCAAATTAAAATCGCACATACATATAAGTATGTTAGCCAACACTGGCTGAGAGTGGGTGTTGAGCGGCAGCGTGTAAAGCGTGAAAGGAAAAACCAATCATAATATTTATGATAAGCCGCGTTTCATTTGTCAGCCTACAAAAGGCAGCGCTAATCCTTACAAGTGTTCCATTGTGCACACACAGAGTGAGATAGAAAGAGAGAGAGAGAGAGCGACACACATACATCCACATGTATTTAGAGACACTCTTCCCTCATCGAGCATTTGTGAAGTGTTGTAAGCTGCTTTACTCAAGTGGATCGGACTGGGCAGAGTTTGCTGTGCACTGAGCCGTGCGCATATTTATGGCACTCACTGTTTCCAATCAAATTCGTTGCCTAATTTCGGGCGTCGCTTTCATTCATTGATTAATGACATGTGAACCAGACGTGTGTGTAGCGTTGATGTGTGTGTGTGTGTGTGTGTTTGCTAATTTGTTCTCTGTCTTGCCATTAATTGAACTGTGCTCAGGTGTGTGTTAACCGCAACTTGATCGATTTGGCTTCACCTTAACCCTCTTTTCTCTCATTTCTCGGACTTGCCCTCTCGCAACGTCTTTATCCGTTTATTCGCTTTGTTTTCTGTTGTCAAGTTTAATTGTCTTGTCTTTGGCTTTGGCCCTATCGATTTCACTGCAATTGGGTTAGCTTAGTTAATTGGTTTGGCGAGCGCCGTAAGCCAAATATTTTAATTGCAAAACTTTTCAAAGGAATCAAAAATTATCAAAAAAAATAAGAAAGGAAAGGGAAAAGGAAAACAAGTGAAACGTGGGCCGCCCACTTTAGCTGTTATCATTTTTGTCTTTGCTACAGCTTTAAATGGCTTTCAGTCAATTCCCTGGAGGCTGCGTAGCCACTTAGCCGGGATCAGGCTGCAGTTCCGCAGATTAGGGTCGCACGCGCTCCATTTACAGCGCCCGTAAATATAAGAGGAGCGTGTCTATTACACCAATGGCAAGCGAATACTCTTTGCCTCAAAGCTATTTACATTTTGCGACACCAGAGAGCAAAGCTCGAAGCATCACGCACTGTTCTCTGCTTGCCTGTCACTTAATGAATTTATAGATACTTTTGCTATATTACACTCGCTTCAGCCGCTGCCCATTCCAATATGTATTAAGTGTACCAAAGCTTCATCTAGCTCTTCATTTTGCCTGGCTTCTGATGGCACAATGGGGCGTATACGTGCCTTGGCCTATAAATCAAAACATTAACTGGGCGTGGCCAGGCAGTGAGTGTGCGTGTTTCTACAGCTCCTAAATGGCACCTCATTCGCCATGCCACGCCTTTACGGCAGCGCCTTCCCTACAGAATAAGCCTCGGCCAGCTTCGCTTACAAATTGCCAGTCGAATAAATTACATTTTATGCGCGAGTCCATTGCTCTATATGTATATATGTATAGAGATTTACATGCATATATACTCTGTTAATTTTGTCGGCTGTCCAAGCCTGATTAATCGCTAGTTCTGTCGTTTCGCAGCTCGTGCGACAAGGCGCAAAATGTGAACATTTGTGGCGCTACAAATGCCTCCCAATCAACAACACCATCAGCGACCGGTTTACAAGTTTACGACTTTTGATGTTGCTGCAGCAGCATCCCGGCTTGGTCTGTGGCAGGGGCAGGGGCTGGGGCTGTGACTGAAGGCTGCTGCCAGACCCAGAGTAACCTTTCGTCCTCGGGTGCCCCATCAAGTTGCGCGCTCGGCGAGTGCAGGCGGGCATATCGAAAGGCGAATAACTGAGACTGAACTGAAAAGTTCCCTTAGGTAATATAGAACAAAAATGTGAAATAAGTTTCTTACATGCAATATTCAATAGATGCCTTCAAAGAAAATAACAAATAAATAGGGTATACAAATTTTCTATGCCATTTTTATAGGACACTTTTTATGTTAGCCTCAATGACAAGGAGAGAGAAGACAAGATCTGAGAGTAAAGCTTAAGGCTAACTAAGATATGGATACTCCATAGCTATAGAGATTAAAGATGTTTAAATAGCGAACATTCCTTATTAGAGTGCCATCAAACACCAAGTTGTGGGTCTGAATTTCGGAAATCTGAGTAAATGAGATCTATGTACGCAATTACATTTATGGAAGAGAACATTCTCAAGTTTTAAAGGGGGTACATACCAGAGACTTATTCATCCTTACTCTTATATATTAGCTATGTAATATATGGAGCTTTTCATGTTCCAATTCTATTAACCATGATTTAGCACGTGAGCGGGAATCGGAGAGTTATATGCAAATAACTCCATTTCTATAAACCGTAAAAGTCTACAGAATTATATCTAAATATAGCTAGAAGTGATTTTCCATAAAGTTTTCTTATTAATTCGTGTTCGACTAAGCTGAGCGGGTATCACGCAGTCGATAGCCAGCAGATGCATTTGCTGCTGCTTATGGCTCAATAGAAGCAGGTTCAACCCTCGAGTTGCTGCTGCTGGTTTGCGGTCTCTCGATTGGGAAAGGGGCTGACGGGCTCTATGTGTGTGTGTGTGACGTTCGTTCGCTCCTTTTATCAGACAGCATCAAGACAAATGCGTTACTTGTTTCTCGTTTGGGCTTATTACGAGCTACCTTCCTTCCTGCCAGGCAGCCTGGCAGTGAGGCAGCCCGGCAGTGAGGCAGTGAGGCAAGGAGGCAGTCATCCCAGCCCCGCCGTCAGCCACCCCATTGGAATGGCTTTTGTTTTGACATGAAGACCGCTATGAACACATCAGCGTTACAAACGCCTCGACAAGGGCAAACAAGGCAAACAATCTAATGACAAGGCGGCAGCCAGCGCTCGCTCTGTTTGTCTTTGTGTGTTTCTGTGGCAAATTTATATGTATTGGCTTCATTATGCTACAGCAGCAGCCGCAGCAGCCACAGCAGCAGCAGAGACCACCATGTGCAGGTGTCTGTCTCCAGGAATGATTTTTGCCAACCCTCGGCAAATTTCTTGCTTTTAATGATTTAATGATGAAACTAAACACAAACTTCATTAGCTTTTGGCTAAAATTTCCTCTGAATGTAAGGCATGACAGATATTTTCCCAGTATTTAATTGAAAATATAATTGACGATTGCATAATGTGAATATCATAGTACAAAACTAAGAGAATGTTCCACTAGCAGTTATCCGAGCTGAACTGAAGAACTAACACACATATATGAATATTAATACAAGTTTACTGTATGAGTTTCTTATTCCATTAAACTTTTTGCAGGGGGCTTAATTAATAAAAGTTGTAAAGCGAAAAATCAAAGAGGAGTTTTAGTTATTCCCAAAAGTTGCTTAAAAACTATAAACTATTAATTTTTAGTATATTAACAAAAGTTGTATCAATCCGTAGAAACTAAATTTCTATATGTTTTAATAGATATCTTGTAGACACAGAAATGGTAGCCCTTTAAGCAAAACAATATTTTTATACATATATTATGTATGCATGTATGTATATGCTGAATGAATGGCAAAATATGTGCATATTATTTTGCATTTGAATTTGTTGCATTAAATACAATCGAATATAATATCCTACCAATTTTACATATATAAATGTTTGTTGTTTCACACATTTTATTTATTTAAAATTAATATAAAATTTGATTCAAATGAAATCTGAATACAAACTTTTAATACGAAATAATTTATTAAGTTTAGATAAAAATTATTTTAAAAATATATTTTTTCAAACTTTAATTGAGTATTAGATTAAACTAATTTTATATAGTTAAATATATTAGATGATTAAAAAATTACAAAAGAAATATTAATTTGATATTAAGTATTTGCAGCTCTGCAATCTTAAGCAGATCTAATTAAATAATAAAATAAAGGTAAGGAAATATAAAATAAATTAATTGCCTGTAATTAAAATGAATTCATTTGCTAAACAAAATTTTTATGCTGCACATTTTTGGAATTTTTATAAAAATTCAAAATCAAGCTTCCTTCATCATTGCAGTTTAGTCGCGCATTACATAAGAACTAGAAGCGATTTAACCTCTGCTCGCAGACACGTTGAAAATCTAACTGTAAGTGTTTCAATTCCATTTTGTGCCAGTGACAAAAGCAGAAACGGAATGGGCCACGAATTTCGTATGTTCCTGCACACACACACACACACACACACACACACGCACCCACCTGGCTGTGCAAAAACTGTGCCTGTGTGTGTGTGTGTGTAGAGGCCAAAACACTTGGAGCTTTTTTAGCAGTGTTTGCATGCGAGAAGTTTGTTTAATTTTAATTAGTTGCGAATATCCTAGGCAAGTTATGTAAGCCACTCGCATGGAGGACAAACACTGCTAGAGCTAGACTAGAACTGTATGCATACATATAGATATAGATAGCTGTATAGGTGTTGGTGTATCCGACTAACCTGTATCGCTCGGTGTGATATTGCTCAGGCGATGGCTGAGAAAGCCGCGCAAGTTGGAGACGACACGCTGCGGCGAGTTGGGGCCGCTGCCAATCGAGAAGCTACGCAGTTTGGAGAACAGGGCGGCCGATTCAGCGCTGCTCCCGCTGGCTCCACCAGCGGCGCTGCTGCTGCTGTTGGCCTCGTTGGACGCCACGTTCGTTGCGTCCACAAAAACGGAGTTGGCAGGAAAGCAACTATCGCCCTCTCTCTCGCTCTCTCTGTGGTCGAGTTATGTAAAAACCGTTGCACTGAACAAACTTAACGCGGAGTCAACCCGAACGCGCTGATACCCTTTCGTTTCACTCACGCTGCCCACGCCCACGCAATTGAATTTTCGTTTATTTCGCTGTTGATTTATTTATAATTTTCCTATTTTCTTTTCTATTTTATTTGATGGATTTTGCAAAGTGAGCAACGACAGCAGCAGTTGGCAGCGTGCGTTGTGTCGTCCGGGCAGGAGCAAAGGTAACTTCTGTCTGGCGCTGCTCGCACGTAGCTGCTGCTATACCGTTATTTTCATTTCTTCTGCTGCTGCTGCTGCTGCTGCTGCTGCGGCTGTGGCTGTGTGTGTGTGTTTTTGTCGGTATTCAGGCTGGAATTCCAGCTCAGGTCTCTTTCGGAGCTTTCCACGGCGCAGGACATGACGCATGCGCCTGCCTGTGGCTGCCCACCAATTGGCTCGCTGGCTGAACCTCTCCTGCCTCGCTCACCAGCCCCCCAGCCCCCGCCCCACCTGCTTCCCTGCCACTGTCAAGCGCTGAGCGCCTTCACAGTTTTCCCATGCATATTACTTGCGGCTCGCTGGGCACATTTGAATAAAATTCTATTCGCGCCGCGTTCGTTCTTCGCTCTTTACCTTTAGCGTTGGCTCACCCACGCAAAAGAAAATCAATTTCTACCTGTCTAGGCAGCGCGCATTTTTCTTACTATTTTTTCACCTGCCTTGTCTCTTGTTGTTGTACTTTTGCTTTGTTTATTTCTGTTTGCACTTCATATAGCATACTTTTTGGGGCTTATGTAAGGCACGCATTGGCTGCCCCCTCTCGCTCACTCTCCCTTTCTCTATCCCTTTACATAATCGGTTAATTTGTAAGTAAACTCTTTTTCTGCATCTAGCCTTAGTTTCTATCAGTTTCATGTGCCGACTGCATTGCAGCTGCACTTGCTGCTGATTAGCATCGCCAACCAATTGTCTGCAGTTGTCTCCCTCTCTCTGTCCCTCTCTCTCTCTCTCTCGCTGGCGATTTCTTTTGTCATTCATCATTTGTCAGTCGTTTTTTGTTGCAATTTATCAAGATTTAACTTATGCCCGCTCAAAGCTGAAGCCATTGTCCTTTGATTCGCCACTGAGAGCAAAGCCTCTGACAAGGGTTTGTCCTTGAAAACTATAATGAGAATTTGTTAGCCCAAGTGGGCCGTCGCATTATGCATTCAAATTGTGTTAACTACTCTGAACTTTTTCATCAAAATAAAGAGAGCTCAGCGACTTGGTCTCTGAGTAAAAGTTAACTGAGCCAATTCCAGGCGATATGAATAAATAGGTAAAACTTTCTTAAACTGGGGAATAAATTCTTAACTGAATACTTGAGATTGCTCAATTTAGAATGAGAATCAAGGAAAATGTGTCAAATATTGTAAAAGGATTTCTAGTTAGCTTGCCTGCTTGATTTAGTCAATCTAAACATAACTTGCCTTTGGCACCAAAAACTGAGTTTTATGCAAATTTGTTGAGCCAGAACTGCCCGCCAGGGTATTCCTGCTGCCTTTTATGCAGACCTACACTCAAATTCATAAAGGAAAGGACATTTGGTTTAGCATTTTTTGACATTTTCAGTTCTATTTGACGTTTCTAGCTCATCGAGATACGTTTTGAACTTGTTCAAATTGACTTTATTTTTAAACTCAAATTCGCGACTTATGGTATATATGGATACATATTATGACATATTGTATGCTAGAAGATTACAAGTGCTGAATATATTAAATATAGATAGACAAACTTGACAATGTTTATATGTAAGTATATAAATGTTTATGTTAAGGAAACTCAAGTTTAAGAATCTAAATATATCTATGAAAATATATAATATGAATCGATCTCTGTTCAAGCTCTACTCAAAACCATTATTATATACATTTAACAGAGATATTCCCAAAAGTCAGTGCGATACACATCAACGCTGTCATCGATGTTCCACAACTTGTCAGGGCAACTCTTAGTGACGTCTCAATGGGTTGTCGCACTCAGTCAGAGAAGCCACAGAAGATTCCCGTCCTGCACAATGGCTCGTGGCTGTTCATTCAAGCAATTCACAAAAAAATGTCAAGCTGTTTTGCTGTGCTTCGTCCCATGGAATCCGTTTGCTGCCAGATAATAGATGGATGATATACGATTCTTACTACTCTTCTTCTGCCCCTGCTATCGACACAAACTTATTTATAACTTTAATATAACTTTTTGTTTACCTATGCCTCTGTTCATTGTGTAACGACACATTAAGTCTATGTCAAACTTACGTATATACTATATGATATACGTGCCTATCTCGCATACATATCATAGGCAAATAATTCATTAAGCTCTCGCTGTTTATTTATAAACCACGCGATTCATTCAACTATAAATTGGATTCAGTTCGAGTAGAAGTCAAACCAAGGGTAAAGCGCGATATTAGGAATTTGTGTGGAATGCCTGCCTTATATTTCATAATGCTTACATAGCAAACTCACACACACACACACACTTGTACATTCCACTCACACACGTACGTTAAACTTTGGAAAATGTAGAGCTCAGAACTACTTAAAGAGCTTTATTTGGCTGAGAGTTTTACGAAAGTGTGCTTAAAACTGGAATTACATATATATATAGAGAGAGAGATATGGGGGGAGAGAGAGAGAAAGGGAGTGAGAGAGATGCAATCTTATAAATTTGGCCACGTAAAGGCAATTACGTATTGCTGAAACGCAGTGAAAATGTGTGGAAAATGGTGGAGCAAACTGAAGCTTAAGGCCACAAAACACAGATCGATAAGGCCAGCAGCAGCAGCTGAAGAAGCAGCAATAGCAGTAGCAGCAGCAGGAGCAGAAGCAGAAGCAGGTGCAACCGTAAGGTAAATCAAGGTGTGCCACAGCAGGTGTGCGTGTGAGCCACGACTTAAGCATCAGCACATAGCACAACTAAATACATAACTGTATAAATATATATGCATGTATGTATTGAGGTAAAAATTATATAGCACAGACGTCGGCGTCGACGTCGACGTCGCCAGAGTCGGGCTAACGTACTTTGGCTTGTCGGAAAGTGGTTGAAAACAAGGTTATTTCTGCCAACGGCGAAGACATGTGCCGTGGGCGTGGGCGCGGGCATGGGCGGGAGCGTGGATGTGGGTCGCCTGCAGCATTGCCAAAAGCAGCTGCAGAGAAATGAACACAAAACACGCAACTAAAGCTAGAGCAGAGGCATATTTATAGAAAGCAGACGGAAGCAGAACGCAGCTCCTTTAACTGCACACAATGGACTAAAGGCGAGCAGAGCGGCGGCCATTTAAACTGCCAGCCAAATGCTTCGAAAGACAGTTACACTCAACAAAAGTGCGTGGCAAATGAAGTTTCTGAAATTGAAATCACAGAAGGCAAAACTGAAAAAAAGAAGCTATCGAAGAAGTCGGACTATAAAGCAACTAGAGACCGTAGAACACCTCTCCTCTGATTCCCAGATGAGCGGCATCCGAGGTGAGATGAGAATGTAGAGTAGGTGGGCATAAAACAGTTGCTCATCTGCAGTCCGGCGCATTCATCGCACTTATCTAAAAAAAAAAAAAAGAATTATAATCTTAATGATCATCAATTTAATGCCAGTTATAAAATTGACTAATTATGAACCATGCTAATGATTATTAACTTAATGATAATAATGCATAAAAATCATTACTCTAATATAGAACAGAATTTTACCATTATAATTATTGTTAACAAATAATTCTTGTAAAATAATATATGTATACTTAATATTAATAGCTAATTTATTTATTATTACTTCCCATACTCACGCAGAAGAAGAAGAAGAGCAGCCAACAGGTCGCCAACAGGTCGCCAACTGGCCAGGAATGCAACTGAAGCAGGGCTGCTTCACACTTGCCTTTATATAGAGAGCAACAGCTCAAGCTCCAACTCAAACTCAGACTCCGACATCAGCAAGCAACCCGAACTCTTGAGCCTCTCTCTGGACTAGACTTTACGCTCGATCAGCCGACGACATATAAGAGAGCTGCTCTACGGCGCTACCTAGCTGAGCATATTGAGCTCTTCTTCTGCCCATTCTACATATAGACTATCACGTATAATGTATAGACTATCATGTATAGACTATCACGTCTCCTTCTGCATGTGATAGACTTACTAACCGTTAGTTATACTTACAGAATATATAAGAAGCAGTGCCTTCGGGCACATTGTCAACATTGGCGATTCTACACACAGTGTAGAATCGCTGTAGATGAGGAGAGAATAGCATCGCTCTGCCTCGCACTCAAAAAGCTAATTCTATTCTAATTCGCAGCTAACTGTGCGACCCAAAAAGGATTTTGTCGAGCAATTAGGTAAGTGCAAATGGGTTTTCGGGTTGACATTTGATGCCAGTTGTGAGCTAGCGACCTGCCGTAATTAATATTTTATTTTCTGCATGATAAACAGAAATTTGAGTCAAGTCACCTTCAATTGGAGCCCTTTTCAAATGCCTTCAGTGTGCGACAATGGAAAAGGAAACATTTCTAATCGAGTATGCTTAAAGCTAAAGCCGAGCTCTGCATGGGAGTTATGCTAGGCATATTACGCTCGGCAAGCAATGTGTCTTCTTGTAATTAGATGACGGCTTTCTGCGGGGCATCTGTTCGAACGTTGGCGAGCCGTAAAACAGACAAACACCACCCACAACAGGCAACGGCCCCCGCACATTAAATATATGTATATACACGCAGCACCACACAACCACCAACCACCAGTTACAAAAACAACAACAACAACAACAACAAAAGCAACACTTGTAAAATTTCACGCTGTACTTGGGCTTGTTTGTGTCGTTGTGGCCAAGGTAGAAAGTGCCTTCGCCTTCCCCGCCTCCTCCTCCTCCTCCTTCTCTTCCTGATATATGCCTACAATCTATTGATTTTTTATAAATTTGTAACAGCTCTGCGAGTGTGTTTGCTTTTCGAAACATAAACTAACCAT